CTACCGCCTGCATTTCCCTGGACGTTCCCTGGTGTTCGTCTCGACGCAAGCTCTGGTCAACGAGACCTGTGATGAGAAGAGATTCAAGAAGTGCGTAAACTCAGCACTGAATGTAAGTCGCCTCGTTCCATAGAACTTTTGAAAAAATTTGAGTTCTAACATTCACCCAGGAAATCAGAGATGGCGTGCACGATGGTCTTTTCACAGTAAGTTTCGGCGGGGTTCATCAGGATTAGGCATTGTAAAATGAGCAGCTTTTGACCGCGAGAACAGGCGAAGATGGGCGAGGAGAACTGGGGGATTGCGCACCGCGTCCTCATGCCTGCATTTGGTCCCCTCTCGATTCGCAACATGTTCGACGAGATGCACGATATCGCCACACAACTGACGCTGAAATGGGCGCGATATGGCCCTGATGAACCGATCATGGTTACCGACGACTTCACGCGACTCACCCTCGATACTCTCGCGTTGTGCTCTATGGGATACCGTTTCAACAGCTATTACTCCCCAACCCTGCACCCATTTATCGAGGCCATGGGCGATTTCCTGACTGAGGCTGGTAACAAGCCCCGCCGGCCGCCTCTGCCCGGCGTCTTCTTCCGCGCGAAGGACCAGAAGTTCAAGGACGACATTGAGATTCTCAGAAACACCGCCAAGGGAGTTTTGGAATCAAGAAAGGCCGAGGGCGAGAAGAGCACCCGCCGCGATTTGCTCACTGCCATGTTGGAGGGTGTTGACACGAAGACCGGAAAGAAGATGACTGACGAGAGCATCATGGACAACCTGATTACCTTCTTGATTGCAGGACACGAGACCACATCAGGGCTCCTTTCATTCGCCTTCTATCAACTACTGAAGCACCCCGAGTGCTACCAGAAGGCCCAGCAGGAAGTCGACAGCGTCGTCGGCAAGGGACAGATTCACGTCGACCACCTCTCCAAGCTCCCGTACATCAACGGCGTCCTTCGCGAAACCCTCCGTGTGAACGCCACCATCCCCGTGTTTAGTGTTGAGGCTTTTGAGGACACTCTGCTTGCAGGCAAGTATCCCGTGAAGGCAGGCGAGGTCATTATCAACCTGCTGGCCAAGTCTCACCTGGACCCCCTCGTCTATGGCGACGACGCCACCGAGTTCAAGCCAGAGCGCATGTTCGACGAGAACTTCAACCGCCTCCAGAAGGAATTCCCCAACTCATGGAAGCCTTTCGGCAACGGCATGAGAGCCTGTATCGGCCGCCCCTTCGCCTGGCAGGAGGCCCTCCTGGTCATGGTCATGCTCCTCCAGAACTTCAACTTCGTTCTGGACCCCAACTACAGCTTCGGCGTCAAGCAGACTCTCACCATCAAGCCCAAGGACATGCATATGCGCGCCATTCTGCGCGACAATCTCACGCCGACGACCCTCGAGCGCCGCCTGGCCGGTCTCGCCGAGCCCGAGAAGGCGACCAACGGCAACAGCGCGAACGGAGCCGCCGCCGCCGCTCAGGAGGGCGGCAAGCCGATGACCATTCTATACGGTTCTAACAGCGGAACTTGCGAGGCTTTGGCTCAGCGCGTCGCCTCTGATGCTTCGTCCCATGGCTTCCGTGCCACCAAGATCGACTGCATGGACAGCGCCAACGGCAGCCTGCCAACCGACCAGCCCGTCATCATCATCACGGCTTCATACGAGGGCCAGCCCCCTGACAATGCGGGTCACTTTGTTGCTTGGATTGAGGGCCAGGACAAGGAGAAGTCTCCCCTCAAGGGTGTCAACTACGCTGTCTTTGGATGCGGTCACAAGGACTGGGTGCAGACCTTCCACCGCATCCCGAAGTTGGTTGACACCACTCTCGAGCAGCTCGGCGCGAGCCGTCTGGCCGAGGCTGGTCTTACGGATGCCTCGACTGGCGAGGTGTTCACCAACTTCGAGACCTGGGAAGATGATGTGCTCTGGCCTGCCCTGACCAGCAAGTACAACACCACTTCCGCCGACGACAGCAAGACGAAGGGCGTCGATGTCACCATCAGCAACCCTCGCACTTCTACCCTTCGCCAGGACGTCAAGGAGGCCTCCGTGGTCAAGACTGAGACCCTCACCAAGGGCGGAGATCCCAGGAGTATCAAGAAGCACATCGAGATCAAGCTGCCTGAGGGCATGACCTATACTGCTGGCGACTACCTGGCTGTCCTGCCGATCAACCCCAAGGAGACCGTCCACCGCGCGATGCGCCGCTTCCACCTTGCCCGCGATGCTCATCTCAGCATCAAGACTGACGGACCTACGTCCCTCCCAGTCGACACCTCCATCCTCGCCGATGACATCCTGAGCCACTACGTGGAGCTTTCGCAGCCCGCAACAAAGAGAGTGAGTAACGCACGCTGAAACTAACTCGCACGGATATAGGCTAATCAGTTTGAAGAACCTCCTCGCGCTCGCAGAATACGTCAAGGATGAAGACACGAAGACCAACCTGACCCGTCTGTCTGGAGATGCCTACGCCGACGAGATCAGCACGAAGCGCGTCTCCGTTCTTGACCTGCTCGAGCGTCACCCCTCCATCGACTTGCCGATCGGCGTGTTCCTCACCATGCTGCCCCCCATGCGCGTCAGACAGTACTCCATCTCCTCTTCGCCCATGGCCTACCCCTCCAACGTCACCCTCACCTTCTCCGTTCTCAACGAGCCGTCCCTCTCCGGCCAAGGCCCGCACATCGGCGTCGCGTCCTCCTACCTCGACTCGTTGGCCGAGGGCGACACCCTCCACGTCGCTATCCGCCCATCTCACGCGGCCTTCAGCCTCCCTTCCGACCCCGAGAGGACGCCCATGATCTGCGTCGCCGCCGGCACCGGCCTCGCGCCCTTCCGCGGCTTCATCCAGGAGCGTGCTACCATGATCGCCGCCGGCAGAACCCTGGCTCCCGCGCTCCTGTTCTTCGGGTGCAGATCCCCCGAGCACGACGATCTCTACCGCGAGCAGTTCGACAAGTGGGAGGCCCTCGGCGCCGTCTCCGTCCGCCGCGCTTACAGTCGCGACTGCGACAAGAGCGAGGGTTGCAAGCACGTCCAGGACCGCATGTGGAAAGACCGCGAGGAGCTTCTGGACCTGTGGAAGCAGGGCGCCAAGGCCTACGTGTGCGGCTCCCGCGGCGTGGCCGAGTCGGCTAAGGAGACGATCATCAAGATCAAGGTCGAGACGGAGAAGGCTAAGGGCGAGGAGGTTGACCCGGAGAACATGAAGGAATGGTTTGAGTCGCTCAGGAACATGCGCTACGTCACAGATGTTTTCGACTAGGCAGCCTGCGAGTGTGGGATGGATATCAAACTTATAGACGGGGGACTGGAGTTTAAGCGATTTGATAACACATAGTAAATACCCGGCAAATAGACAATAACCACTGTTGATTTTCACTGGAAATTGGTTAAGTTTTCTCTCTGCTGTGCATTATTTGCGATGATTGTATTTCCTGATTTGGGACGCCTGGGGTGTTTGGTTGGTTCGGGTTTGCTCACCCTCGTCTTGGCCAACCAACGCCAACAATACCGACGACAGCACACAATCATTTTCTTTCTGATAGAAGCCTTCGATCTTGTACGATCGCCCAAAAAAAGAAGACTCTATTCAGTCAAAAATAACGTCAGCTGCCCGCGCGGTTAAATGTTCCGAGGAGGAGGTCAGATTGGCCGTTCTTCAGCTGAGCGGACGATCAGCGTCTTCCCGTTCGGTGATCGCGCTCCACTCGTCCCGTCGGACAACGAACGCGGGCCGGTTGACTTTCACAGGCGAAGTTTAACTAGTTCCCCGGAGCTCCGGGTAAAACTTGCGGATCTAGCGTTGCATGTGGACTGGACAGTGTACAACTACCGGTGGCATCGAACCAAGCTTTCTCTCAAGGGAACCCCTGATCGTTCATCTCTACACCCTCCCATCTCCTCGGTACGATTCTTAGAGAACGCCAATGTGATGGGAATATGACGCATCTTGATGACTGAATGCTTACCTGCTCTTCGGCATCACTTGCGATAAGCCGGCTGTAGCTCAACAGACGTAGGGAAACTTCCGTCGTGGCATGGCCCAGGCCTCCAGCACACAGGCTGGTCATTGTACACACAAGATTCATGGTCGCATACGTCGTATCGAGACCGAGACGAAAGGCCCCAAAAAACATCCGTGAAGCTATGGCCAAGCTTCCCAGCTTCCCCGCACGACTGGACGGAATGCCGAGGCATAATCACCGTCTACCGCAGATGTTGGGACGAATAGTTGCAAATGAGTCTCAGCCAGCGTCTCCTAAGTGACATCTCAAACGTCGAGAAGCCCGTTCAATATGTACAGATAGGAATGGTTGGAGAGATGCGAGGAGGGTGGTAGACTTGAGTGAAGGGACGGCGAACTAAGGCCCACATAGTCTATACGACTCGTGAACAACCACCAGATATTTATCGGAGAAACTGAAAGACATCGTGGAGTGCCACGTAAAGCCTAACATATTGATTAGTCTTGCCCGATTAATTGACATTCATCATGATGCCACGAGGCGTAAGATTTGGCCATGCGTCACTCAACAATCTTCAAGGTGACACCCAGATAGATGGACGTTTTCAGCACCCACTTTCCTCTTGCGCTTCGGCGCCGAACCGCCAGTTCTGCCGCACTTTTGTGGCCAAGGACCGGCGGCCGCAATTAAGCGACACGGGGACTCAGCCCCCAACTCCGGCCGACCCGGGGAAGAAACTCTGTAACGAATGCAGACAAACCCAATTCGTAGCTGGCCGTAGAACCATCATTCTACCGAAATAGACTCCCTCGGTTTTAAACTTCCCCTCGTTATCTCCCTCTATTTGCTTAGAAATGCCGCGAATCCCTCACGTGTCGTCCCATCTCTGCTGTTAGAACCGAGGGACAGCCGAGTGCATATAGAAGATGCCGGGCTCCCGCTCCCCTACTACAGAAACCGTACCGCAGCCTCATTCATGTGTAGCAGTGATTTGACTTGACAACTTAACCAACAGCAAACATGGCAACTACAACCATACAAGTCACGGAGCCCGCCACCCTCCGCTCTAATGGAAATCTCACGGTCCCCAACATCATTGATCAGAGGGCCGCGTATGAGCCTCTGAGAGAAGCGTGCTCCATTCCCCGCACCGCCAATCCTCGCGATGGTTGGAGAATCATCACGTACAAGGAACTGGCCAATTGTGTCAACTATATGGCCCAGGTGATCTTGCAGAATTATGGTGCACCTCCGAAAGACACCTTTCCCACAATTTGCTACATTGGGCCAAATGACATTAGATACGGGGTAAGCAAAGATACTTGAAATACGAACACAATCTTGAGCTGTTGCAAGACTGACCATCGCGTAGATTATGATTGTTGCCGCCATTAAGGCTGGCTATAAGGTTGTCATTTCTTGCCACAGCACGCCGTTCAATATTGACTAACAACATGTCAAGTCTCTCTTCGTGTCCCCAAGGAACCCTCTTGAGGCGCAACTGAATCTTTTCAATCTTTCCAACTGCCAGATTGTGGCACGCCCAAAATCTCACACTGCCGTAGTCGATTTATGGTTGAAGAACCGACCAATGGATGTTCTTGAAGTTGAAGACCTGGAATCCATCTTAGCACAGCCAGAGATTCCCACAATCCCTTACACCAAGACGCAGGCCGAGGCCGAGTGGGACCCCTTTGTCGTACTTCACACGAGCGGTAGTACAGGACTGCCGAAGCCAATCGTTGTCAAGCATGGCTCTGTTGCCATGACCGACACTCTTCGCCAATTGCCCCCTTGGAATGGCACTGTGCCCACTGGGCAGGCTATGGATGCCAGAACCAAACGGCACTTCAGTCCCAGTAAGTGTTGTTCTTATGCCATGAAAAAGGCTCCTCTGACGCGACTGATAGTGCCTTTGTTTCACGCTGGTGGCGTTTATGGGTTTCTTGGAACCATGGTCTTGGGGGGAAAGCCTCTTGCGCTTCCTTACGCTGACCGTCCCTTGACTCCTGAACTTTGCATCGAGTGCATCAAATACTCGAAGGCGGACAGTGCTGGACTTCCTCCCTCAGTCTTGGAGGAAATCTCTCACCGCCCCGAGCAGATCGCAGAGTTGAAGAAACTTGCATTTGTCGGTTTTGGAGGCGGTAAGTCCATCTGATGTGGAAATGATGTGGTATGACTGACAGCATTGTAGGTCCTTTGAGTCAGGACGCCGGCGATACCTTGGTCAGAAACGGAGTCCACCTGATTAATATCATTGGTGCGACCGAGTGAGTTTCCCGCCCTCCTCTTCGGGTTAATAACTAACGTCTTGCAGGACACTGCCCATGTGCGTATGGTACCAAAAGAACCCGGAGCTTTGGCAGTATTTCATTTACAATGATGAGTACTCTGGACTCGAATGGCGCAGGGCAACAGGTGAAGACAACGTCTACGAGATGGTCATTACTCGCAAGTCGAAGCAAGTGCCGATCCAAGGAATCTTCTACACGTTCCCGGACAAGGAAGAGTACAACACCAGCGATTTGTACAAGCCCCATCCGACGTTGCCAAACCACTGGAAGTTCTATGGTCGTGCGGACAACATTCTCAACTTGTCCAACGGAGAGAAGCTGAATCCCACTGATATGGAGGACATCATCATGGGCCACGCTGAAGTGCGGAACGCGCTCATCGTTGGGGCCTGGAAGTTCCAGCCTGCACTCATTGTCGAGCCCATGACGTATCCGAAGACCAAGGAGCAAGAAGACGACTTGATTGACCGCTTGATGCCGACAATCGCCGAGGCAAACAAAATCATTGGTAGGCGGTCACACTCTCAGTCATCTTCACCCTTGTTGTTGTACTAATATCCCTGCTAGCTACACACGGGCGGCTTGTCAGACATTTGATCATGTTGGCTAAGCCCGAGAAGCCGTTCCTCCTAGCTGACAAAGGAACTGTGAAGAGAGCCGCCACGGTCAAACTGTACCACGATGAGATCGAGGACCTTTATGCCAACCCTAGGGAGATTCCCCTCGACAGAGTTCCACGTCTTGATCTCAACTCTGAGGCTGCGCTTGCCCAGTCGATTGAGAAGCTCTTCCGTGAGCATCTTGGAGTGCCTCGCATGGAACCCAACACCGATTTCTTTGCCGCTGGCATGGACTCTCTCCAGATAATTACTGCTGCTCGACTTGTCACCGCAAGCCTTCGTGTCACGGACAAGGCTTACAGCGGAGCTAATATCGAAGCGCGCGACATGTATGCTCACGCAAGCCCTATTCAGCTTGCCGGTCACATCCTCCAAAACGTTGTTCGTGGGCAGGCGAATGGAGAGGCCAGCTCTGATGGTCCCAGCGTTGAACCTATGAAGGAGCTCTACAATCGCCTTTCACAGAACTTGATCCATGCTAAGCCTGGTAGACCGGAGGCTCGGAAGAGTAACCAGACTGTCATCTTGACCGGGTCTACAGGTAACATGGGCTCGTATCTTTTGGACGAGCTGGTCCGGAACCCTCAAGTCAGCAAGGTCATCTGTTTCAACAGATCTCCCGATGGAGGTGCTGGCAAGCAGGAGAAGGCAATGGAGGAGCGCGGATTAGTGTCTCCCAGCAAGAGAGGCAAAGTCGAATTCTTCCACACCAACCTGGCACAGCCGAACATGGGCTTGCGTGAGGAGGTCTATGGACGTCTTTTGAAGGAAGTTGACCGTGTGGTTCACAACGCCTGGGCCGTGAACTTCAACATGCCCTTCGAGGCATTTGAGCCTCACGTGAAAGGCGTGCGAAACTTGGCCGACTTCGCTGCGAAAGCAGACAGACGTGTTGTCATGGTGTTTGTCTCTACCATCGGCACTGTGAGTGGCTGGACTCCGGATCGTGGTCCGGTTCCAGAGGAGTCTCTCCGAGGAGATTGGAAGATCGGCGGCGGTATCGGATACGGCAGGAGCAAGCTAGTGTCCAGCATGATCTTGGAAGACGCCGCAAAGGTCGGAGACTTCCCGTTGTCAGTGGTTCGCGTCGGACAGATCGCTGGACCTCTTGCCGAGCAAGGCGCTTGGAGCCGTCAAGAGTGGCTGCCATCCATCATCGCCAGCAGTCTCCACATCAAGGCACTGCCAAAGAACCTAGCCACCATGAATGAGGTGTCTTGGGTTCCAGTGGAGATTATGTCAAGGATGATCTTGGATGTTGGCGGCCTCACGAAGGAATCGACTGAGTACAACGAAGGGTACTTCACTGGTGCCAACCCATCTCCGACATCGTTCGATAATTTCGTGCCTGCTATTCAGCAGTACTACGGCAAAAGTCGCCTTCCCGACCTCGTGACGTTCCCCGAGTGGGTCAAGCGTCTCGAGGCGAGCAAGACGGCCAGCAGAGATTCGGGTGCCGAGCGTAACCCTGGGTTGAAGTTGCTGGACTTCTACCGCGGGATATCGCAGGGAGATGAGAAGACGACGAAGGAGTTCATCACAAAGCGGACAGCAGAAGCAAGTCCCTCTCTACGATCAGTCGGACCTGTCACGCCGGAGTTGATGATCCATTGGTGCAAGCAGTGGAAGTACGAGACTCCTGCTTCAGCTCGTGCCGGTCGTTTGTAATCAGTTGTTTTCCTGCGGGTTTTTGATGGTAAATGTAGACTAAGAAACAGATTGAATCGAAGAGACTTTGATTGTTGCCACGTTACACATGTCATTTCCGAATACGACAGCTCTTAGAGTAGGGTGCTTGGTCTACCCTTTTACGTGACCCCGGCACTTGCGATGGTTTCCTTCTCCTGAATAACTTGTGTCTCATATAATTCGGTCCACCAAGAATTCATGTTCTCCATTGGAGAAAGGTCAGAGGGCCTGGGACCTCTCACTATTTCTCGCCTAGCTGCCTAAGTCCTCCCTGAAAGAAGTCCTCTCAGCCCTTTCTTGGCAGCGATTTTGCGCTTATGCAGCCAGCCCACCAACTTCGAAGATCGTGCCTCAGTGAGATGTAGGCACGCACCAAGCACAGGTGCCCATAGGATGCAACACTTGGTAGTCACCGAGATTTTCCAGATTCGATACGAGATTCGTTGCAATTTGGCACACTCCTTCGAAGACCTACACCAAGCCTGAGCTGTGTCGAAATGAAGAGCGCATTTTCACTTGACGTTGCGCTAAGCTTCCCCGCCTCTTTGCCAGAACATGCGTCGAATGGCAATGTCCAATGACAATAGAGTGGCTAATCAGCCGATCACGGAGTTGTACATGGATATTCTGCAAGCCAGCGGCAAAGACTACGGCGATTGGCCTAGTTCAAGCCACAACGCAATATGAAGCATGTTGTCTTGCCTGTTTGTTTTCAGCTCTCCCTTAGAATGACACCGCTCGGCGCAATTGATGCCCGGGTCAACCAATCCTCATGGGTTATTTCGCAATCTGACACACTAAGCCTCTGCCAGAAATCAAGCAAAGCTTAAGCGAGCGGTGACGGGACGTTGCGCCCTTGATGAATTGAGGCTCTTTGCATCAGATGCCAGCGGTAAATTAAAGACAGCACGCACTTTTTGTTATCAGTTTTCCTGCTTGATTCCATTTGCGTTTCTCTTTCATAGCATTCATGACTAACACCAAGAGCACAAGGGAAAAGAGACTACGACGTTGACCATGAAAAGAAGTAATCCTTTTTGGATACTTTCTATCCTTTCGCGAGCTTTTGCTTCTGACCCTTCACTGCCCAATAGCAAAGATACCAGAGGCCTCCTTTCGGAAAGACAAGCCGACTCATCTGTGAACATCCATCCCAGCCTCGACCCCGTCTTCATTGAGAAGAGTTTTAGCGGTCAACTCGACAATCGCTCTCTTTTTGGCCTCTTTGGTCGGCAAACATGCGAGAACAATTGCGGCAATGGTTGCTGCAAATCGTCTGAGAAATGCGTACGGTTTTGTTTGATTGACCTCTAACCCCCCCATCCGTAGAGCTTCCTGATGACCTTTTGACAGTGCCCCAGCAGCTGTTGCCCTGACCTACAAGGTCCTTGCTGTGATACAGGCGGATGTTGCCCATCATATGCCTTCTGCTTTCCCTCGACAGACAAGTGCTGCTCCAAGACGTCAGAGACTTGCGGCGGAAAACTGTGTTTGGTAACTGGGTCTTTATGCTGCGGCAGTGGAACCTGGGGTTGCAAGGCCGGAGAGTCTTGCTGTTCGGACGGGTGCTGTGAGACAGGGTGGTCTTGCTGTAATAACGAACGTTGCTGTAGCGCAGGCACCAAGTGCTGCCCTGGAGCCTGTAAGAGATGCTTGCGAGAGACTCGAGATGTGTGTTCTTGACTGACGGCTTCTCAGGTTGCCCATCAGGGACAGAATGTGGCAATGCATATGGAGAATGTCAAGTGCGGAGGACATCACAACGAACATCTACTCAGACGTCCTCCTCCAGCTCGAGCTCCTCAACAGCTCCACCAAGCCTGACGACACCAAAGATGCAGACGCCAAAGATACCGACAACAACTGCCGCTGGAAGTGCGACTAGCTCCGAATGCAAACATGTATCGGCAACGGGCATCCCACAGCCTACCTCCTCGAACCTACCAGTCATGGAATTCATCTACATCAGCCCCATAGTGGCACCTGACGTAGGTTTCTGCCCTTTTGACTCTCAAACATCGCTTACAGTATGCTTTAGATTCCGATCAATATCTGTCTTGGTTTGTCTCTGACGATCTGGTGCAGGTGCCACACATGGCTGACAAGACTACAGGCATTCGACACAAACTTGGACACTCAGCGCAAGAGATAGTTCTTACTTACGCTGGTGACGGCCAACGTTGTTCACGCCAACGAGGCCGCGGATCAGGCTGCCGAGGATGCTGCAAAGGCGTGACCAAGTCATCTGGCGCCGAAGCTGGCAGACGGACTGAATGCGACGAGTTCCCCTTCAAGTCGACTGTAGAAGGTGGCGATGGTGCCTGGATCCGCTGTGTGACTGGCTGGGAGAATCAGCTACAAGGATACTACCTCAACTCGTGGTACAAAGATAACAACATCAAGCCAGACGACCAGTTCATTGTGCGGGTGTCGAATCTCGACTGCTCGACTGTGCAGCCGGCGGATCTTCAGTCTTGTCAAAACGGAGGTGCCAGCACCTTACAGACCAGAGCGGAATCGCTGGTATCAGGATCTGAAACTGCTGTTCGACGAACGTTGGACAACAAAACCACCGTTGTCATTGCCGCGTTCGGTGATCTGGACGGCATGGGCTATGAAGCAAAAGCGCGCATGTCGACGGGGCGTCTCACCCAAGCTCGTGTGATCGACAGCGACGGGGATGAAATTACAGCAATGGGCGAGGACAATCTTAACTCACTCTACAGCGATGATGGCTTGTCCATCAAATGGGCCTTTGACGACTATGTTGGCGGAGTAGGCTTCATTGGCGAAACGCAGTCAACAAGTGTCAATTTGAGTTGGGATCTTCAATCTGACGCGTCTGGGTCGAGCTCCGACTCCGAGTCTGTCGCAAGCAGATTCTCATTCTCTTTCGTATCCCAATTGTACGTAGCCGCGTGGTTCGGTCTGTTGATGCTGTTTGATCTCGCGTACTAAAGAGCTGAAATGCTTTGGCGTGGGAATTTACGAGAGTAAGGAGCTGAGATAAATAAGATATGAACGTTAGGTCAATAACTTTCTATATGCATTTGTCATCAATCATTCCTCCTGGACTATTACTAGCACCCTCCTTGTGCGTTTCTTGATTGCATCAATCCATGCTGTTCAACCGAGAATCGCTTATCAGCCATGAGAGTCTTGACCACCGCATTAGACGCTGATCCATCTGGCCATCCAAGTACGGGTAATCTCTTTGGCCTCGTCAACAAGTCCAAGGTCAAGCAGCATCTGTACAGTGCCACGAGTAGAGCTCTCAAGGGCACTGAAGACCCACGAGTGGGTGAAGCTCGTGGCCTCACCGATGAAGACCGTGTTGAACTCCGTCTGCCAGAAAGCAGGCAGGTAGAGCTGTTGCTGGGGAACAATAGGTACAGCAAAAGCACCAGCGTGGTGCTCATCTTGCTCCCAGCAGTGACGCTCGTAGTTGCCGGTCCACATCTCGTCGGCAATCGGGCCGTGGATCTCAACCATGGCCTGCTGAATGTATGCAATATGCTCCTCAGCAGGCATCGAGCAGGCAACAACGGCATCAGCATCAGGTGCATAAGAAGTGAGCATAACTCCAGGGCCGGTGGCGTTGATGTTGTAAGAGGGGTAGCAAATTTGGCCAATACCGTAGATGTCGGTACGTCCGCAGCCACCAATGATGGGGTGCTCGAGGTGCTCCCAGAAGCGGGTCTTATACTGCATCGCAACCTTTACAGCACCCAGGAAGACGGTGCGCTCGATGGCGCGGCGCATCAGACTGGAGTGAGGCGGCAGCTTCCAGTACTTGAGAACATTCAGAGGAACGCTATTGAAAACGTAGTCGAAAGTCTCGGTGGTGGTGTTCTTCAACCAAGGGTTGCTGCCCGTCTGGCGCCAGGTCACGTCTAGGTTGTTCTCTTCCTCGTTGTACTGAACGCTGAAGACCTTGGTCTTATAGGCAATACGGTCCTTGACGATGTTCTCAAAGGCAGCGGGAAGACGGCTGATGCCACCATCAACAGTACGCCACTCATTGGCCATGAAGTAGACAGTCTCAAACTCCCACATCGGCCAGACCACGTTGGAAGGGGTAGCCTCATCGGTGACGTTGAGGTCTGTCTTCATCACATGTCTTAAATATTCAACCTCGCTGAAGTCGAACATGCCCTGCTCAACGGCTTGCTTGTGGGCCTGGAAGACATTGGTGGCGTAGAACTTCGCCTTCTCAGGAGTTAAGTCCTTGAAATCATCCAGCGCTGCAACCGCTTCCTTGACGGCAGTCGCGTTGGAGTAGGTGGTGTTGCTTTGAAGCGAGGGATCCGCAGCAATCTCCTTGCGACCCGGAACCGTGCCATCGGGACGACGCTGCTTTGTCGCAACTGGAGCATTGTCCGAAACCTGAAGCCACGGGATGAAATTGATTTGCAGGGCAGGATCGGCGTCCTTGTTGATCTCGTTGAGGACATCAGCAAGCTGATAAATCATCTTCTGGTCGTTGATGGCATAAGTCTCGTTGGTCTCGGGATCATGGATCGAATGGGGGAACCGCATAGGGCCCAGTTCATGATGTTGACCCTCATCCCAGGAGGTGCCGTTCAAGTAAGTGGTGCGAATGCGACCACCGATCCTGTCGGACGACTCCAGGATCTTCCAATTGTGGATGCCAACCGAGTCAAGCAGCAACTGAAACCTTTGTCAGCGAGACTTCCCCAATTCAGAGTCCGAAAACCACTTACACCAGTGTGGAGACCGGAAATGCCAGCACCCAAGATGCCAAACGTCTTGTTCTTGACGGACGCAACAAAAACCTCATCGGGCTGCTTTTGCTTGAGGTACTCAACGCCGTCAAACCAGGGACCCATAGGGTCGGTTGAGTCAGCGAACGTGGCGCGTTTCCTCATCTTTCGGCTTTTGATGACGTGCTCCGTAGAGCGGCCGACGAGCTGGTTGTCGACAAAGGCATGCAAACATCCCGAGGTCACATCTTCAGGCACCATCCAAACGAACTTGGTAGGCCGCTGGTCAGTCCACTCAAGATGACGCTTGGCCGCCCGGTGAGATCCAATGTGGGTCCGGCCGATCTTGTGGTGTGCATCCTGGGGAGACTTTAAGTCGCAACCGCCGTAGACAATGGAAAGCTCGCCATCGAGAGATCCGTTGTACTCGATATTGATGTTGCGAATGCCATTGCTCTCGACTTCAAATGGCCCCTTGAAGGAGATGGTGTCCCGGAAGACAGGCTCTGCAACCGCTGATTGGCAGAGAGTTGCTGCAGCAGTAAGGAGGGTAGACCACCGAGCCGCCATGTTGTCTTGTTGATTGGCGAGAAGACGAGAACAAGTGAAGAGCTTGTCGGAAAAAAGACCCAAGGGTAACGGGCAAGTCTGTCCGCTCTTATTCAAATGCCCCGACTACGGCTCTCCGACGTTCATGAGGCTCAACCGAGTGAAGTGCCATCAAGCACCTTGATGGTTATTACAAAGGCTTAGCAGACCATTTGAAAACTGCCTATCATATATTTAGATTAAGACCGGTCCCGTTACCGAAGGTCTCTCGGCGTGGAGGCTGGGTTTAGTCGATTTCTCGTGTCATGCCCAGAGACTCGGTTACCGACTATCAGGGCCCGGCTCCGCTGTCACTGCAACAACGTGGGATGAACGCACGAGGGTGGCGCAGCCGAGCAAACAAGATCGCGGGAAAAGTAATCGCGCGTATGTCATTGTCCTGGGTTTTAGAGTTCATGCTCACTCTCGTTACCCAAAATCTCATATCGTTGGTGTCTTGGCAAGAGGGGACTTGACCAGGGGTTCACCGGGCCGGTCTTTTGCAGACACCCGGCATCGGAACCGCGGGGAACCCGGCTTTGAATGAAAGAGGCGAGCGTCGGCTCTCAACTTCTTATCAATATATCACCAGTGATACGAACATTGAAATATTTTCTCGGCCTGCATTAGAATGGTCTTAGACTTGCGTGACGAGAGATGGCACAATCGGTTGTAAGAAGAAAAAGGAAGCTGCTTCATCAAGAACAGCAGCGGTCGCTTCAGGGGTGTTAGGTAATAAGTTGCAGGAGAAATCCAGGAAACGGGGGTCTCAAAGTGGATATCTGGAGGCGTTGAGCCCCATCGGGCAACTCAAAAACAACAGTACCCAGTTGGACGGCAACGTGGTCGATGCCTCTGGGGCATATCAACATCCACTCGAAAATCTCACTGTGCTTAGAAAAGGAATTCATGATGTTAGGCAATCTTAGGTTGATCATCTCCGAACCTCGGATGAGCCTCGATGCTGTTTACGTTCTCCGAGCACCGGGGATAAGAGCGGTGAAAGCGTGGTGGATCGTGGTAAAAGTTTTGTCGCGTTGACAAGTAAACGCCAAGAGGCGAAGCTTGGCATGACAAGCTTGGATCTCTTGGCTAGCGATAAGTTATCTGATCATTGGAAAATTGCCGGTCGAAAATCCGGCACGGAAAATTCTTGCATCTGTTTACTTGGCACGGAAATACGTTGCCGATTTCTATCCTGTTGGGTTGAACTTCAAGCTTGGCTCCGGACTCTTCCACAACCGCAGCTAGTTGATGACGGTTACGAACGCTGGAGTAATCCAGCCTTGATTGTTGTCTATCTACCTTGCGTGACAAAAGAAACTGCCATTCTGATTAAGAAAATGAGGTTTTAGCCAAAAGTACATGGTTCTACGTCAATGTTCGTCGTCTAATAAATGCCCAAACGTTGACATGACCAGAAACGACATTTGGCTCTTGAAGTCCAAGGTACGCTTCGAAAGCGTCACGAATTGAATCATTTGTAATTTAAGCGGCAAAGATCATTCCGCTATTCCACAGAGCCGTCGACTCTTTGAATCGGCAGCAGAAATAGCGGTTGTCAATTCAGTATTTTCAGCGGGTAGCAACTGCTCAGATTCTTAGTTGTCTTTGACTCCCATCTTCTCAGCAAGCTCTCGATTGTTTGATTTCAAGACTTAGCACATGATTCGACCAACAGAAACGCTTGTTCTTATTATTATTTTTCCCTTATGCACTTTGGCATACTGTGTCGACTAACGGAATCTTTTGTGGAAACATCGCCATGAACACGCAGTAGAGCACGGATCGAGAAAAGAAGCCTTTTAGAAGGGCTGCCCAGGATACATGTCTACGTCATGCTCAACGCTCAGACCTCCATCCTCTTTGAATACCTACGCCTTTCTGATGGACGAGCGTGGAGATTGCCTTCCTCCCTTGCGCAGACCACGATCTGATGTATACTTTGTGCTGATGAAAATGAGTCTTTAGTATGAATCATACACACTTCTCGATGCCCTTGGAGGGTGGTCCCTAACCTCTGACTAGAAAGTCGCTCAAGCCGTGCTCCAAAGTGAAAGGCCAAAGCCAAGGAACTATCCCGCCTCATTCATGATATAATCATGGTGTCGATACATCAAAGCTATTCAGCATTACCGGAAATTACCTCATGATGGTGTTGAGACGTCACAAGAATGCCTCTCCAAAAGGTACCGTAGAATTGGGTATGACGTCGATATGGAAAATGTTTGAGAAGCTTGGGGTGAAAGCCAGCTTTGGCAAACACCGTTATCTGGCGAGAACTCCTGGCTGATGAACCGGTTCCAAACCCAAGCTGTGTCTCTATAATTCGTTGCCGACTTGTAATCACTATTGAATCCAGATTCTACATGAAATTGCCCGAGAAACAATCACCCGTCCAGAAAGTGCTTGGCAAGACACGTTCATCCCAGACCGCCGCCTACAATTATGCGACGCCTCCTAAATTATGCTAGCGACAACTAGCTCAGACGCGATGGGTATGCATAATCTTCGAGTACTCCTCAATCTGATCAAGCCCAAGACTCCTAGGTTGACTAATATGGATACCTGTGGCCGAGTCGCCCGCAGACGAAGCACGAGCTGCTTAGTCTCGCGCATTTTAGTTCCCATGGTGCTAACTATCGTGCCCCTCCGAGATGAATGACTTATCGTCACGTTTTATTCTTGGATGTTTTCCTTCACCACGACGTCTCCCATCTCCAACGTTAAGTGGGATTCCTCATCTGGGACCACGGCCGAGGGGCGGTCTGATTTGAGTGGCTCCACGGCAAGCGCGGCACACCGCGGGCGGGCAGACAATCATACACGCGAATCATAATACCTCCGCGGAAACAACGAGTTTTACCGTTCAACGGATGGACCACACGATCGTCCGCCTGCCATCCAGTTGGGCCTTATCCACTCTGTCCCACTCTGTTATTGCACACATGGGATGTTATTACGAGCCTAAATGCTGACCATCGGCGCCCTTTTCCACGCCGAATCCGCGAACATCCATGACTTCGACGCGGCTCTCGAACATCCCGTGAAGAGGAATATGCAGGTCCGCAACCAAAAGACTAGCCGACAGCTTTTGCCCTGAAGTTAACTCAACTGTCAAGAAAAGGCGGATGCTAGTGCCGATATGACGAGAGTAACGAGAGGGCCCGAAGAACCCTCCTCCAGGAACAGGAAGCTTACTTATTTCCTAATTCGTCTGAAGAGACCAAACCGTTTCATTCCCTAACTTTAACAACGACCGCCCACGCGCTTTGACGAGCGTTGGTGGTGTGTGGCCCGTGTCATCTGGACCGCTGTTTCGTTTCACGTTCCATGAATCGTCAAGTGCTCCCGGTATTCTGGTGATGAGAAGATGGGGTAAATGCACTAGAACAAACGCCAAAGTATGGTTGTCATCCAGTCTCAGATAATCAGGCCGATAAACTTAGAGCTGGTTGGAAGGTCGGTATTCGAAACAAATCCCAACTACGGCTAGACGACGCAGGTCATACGCACATTTGGCTGAAGAGGAGAACGACCAGAGGGAAAGGACTGGGTGATAATGTATAACCCGAGTGAGAAGTAATAGTGGCCATTCAAGGAGGTGAGAGCGAAATGAGGTGGAAAGGAATAATGTTGAGAGCAATCGCTTGAAAGACCATGGCACAATCAAAGAATAAGGAAACAGAGGTCACGATGAAGAGGCAGGCAAAGATTGAGTCAGCACCAAGATGTATTACCAAACGAGTGATTAAGAAAGTCCATACTCCAGCTAGAGCAGGCAGTCATATCTCATTATCAGTACCAGTACTGTTACAGATGATCCTCCAAAGAAAGACTACCAATCCCACCAGTTCTCAATCTTGGAATATGTGCATGTGAACCCATTTACTCCTCATCCTCAATCTCTGCCTCGGTGGCGCGCTTCATCATGCGCTTGAAGGCCTGCTCAGTCTCCTGAACGGCGCGGGCGAGGTTGCGGCGAGCCGCGGCGGGGGGTGTTGCCAGGCTGGTTCATCTGGACAGGAACGACGCCGCCGAAGGGGCCGGCGCGAGCGGCGTTCTGGCAACGGACCAAGCAGACGTTGTTCTGTCCAGCAACGGTACCAGTGCAAGCCTGGTCAGCGGGGATCTGGGCCCTGAGAGGGAAGTCGGTCATGGCACCATCCTGAGTGATTGTCAGTGATGTAAAGGGTTGATGTCTGACAGGTTTACTTACGCGGTTGCGGGAGTTCTGGCCCGGGGGAGTGGTGACAACGTTGATGTTGGTCCAGGTGGCACCAGTGGCATCAGAGTTGATCATGCAGTCGTAGGGGCCACCGCCGTCACCGTTGACCTGGTGGAGAGTCATGTCGATGGTTCCGCCAGCGCGGACCTGGGGAAGCTGGTCACCAGTCATGGCCATGATGGCCTTGGTGCCAGTCTCGAGATCGTTCTGGCCAGCGCCAACGGTCTCGCCGAAGGTGTCGGCGGAGGCACCCTTGAAGCGGGTGGAATCGGCCTGGAAGGGATCGCGACGAGTGCCGTCACGGGGAGTGCTGGGATCGACGCCGAGAGCCATGGCAGATCCGCCAAGCTCACCGGTGGCACCGATGATGGCAGCGTGGCCAGCCACCAACTGGGCGGCGGCGAGGACGGAGGCAGCGACGGCGGCTCTGAGAGACATGTTGACTAAGTTAGATAATAAGAAGCTCCTTGCCAGAGGAGGTTAAGACTATTGAATCCTGCCGGAGGAGGAAGAGAAACCTAAAGAGAGAGAAGAACTGAAGAGACTGCTGAAGAGTGAACTGTTGATGCTGATGAGGAAAGGAAAGCCAGAAGAAGCATGGGATTCTCGTCTGCTTTTGTACTCAAGAAACTCTCACGACTTTCAGACGTGCAACCTTTGCATCCCACCATGAGCGCAAGGGGAAAGCAGCATCAGGCGAATCTCCAGCCTCCCGCCTCCCTCCCAGTTGTCGACGATACCAGGGTTGAGATGCACGTCCCACCGTCTGTTGGCCTGGTGGTATTCCAGCTGGCAGCGACCCAAGATCAAGCATACTGTTAGGATTGTTCTATGGTAGGCGCCAAAAGTTGAGGCCAAACACGGTGACCACGACCGCATCTCGTGATGGAGACAAGTTCGAAACTGGACCTTTACCGATTCGGATCGTCGAAGAGGCTCTGTGTGGAAGCGACCGGGGTGCAAAGTTTGTTGAAGAGCCAATCGCATCGCGATCGCGTGCCCCTCCCCAGGTGGTAGGGAGGGGGAGAAACACTGTCGCAGATCAGAAAACGTTTGTCGCACATCGTTGGGCGGGATGATGTTCCAGGATCTGCGCCACGCCCGTACCATTACTCTATCCAGGCCCACGGCGGAAGAGGGAGAGACCCCTTGCCAGATCAAACATCCCTTCCTTTCCCACCTCCCCACCCAGAGAGTCCAAAACCTCACTCCGGTCGAATTTAACCGTGCGGTGCTCCTGCGGGAAAGGCGAGACGAAGGAGGGTATGCCTGTTTCCAGCCAGCGTTGCCATGAAGCTGCGCTCGGCCTGCAGCAGAGTTCGTCCATAGTGAGGGTGTAGAGAAACTAGCAGCCAAACAGAAGGCAGATATGGAGAGTCTCACGGTGACGGCTATCATCTCAATGTTCTGGAACAGAAGCCCTTGGGGCCCCCCATTCACATTGACAACGGTTGCACCGAGGGCCATTTCGACAGCGGACGACGGTGGATACGCACTAAGACCAGGAGTTGAGATGTCACGTTGGATACATAGCCATGCCCGTCGTCTAAAGTCCGAGCTCTCTCATGCTACTATGCAGTCTCGTTGCTGCAACGGCGGATGGGTTTCCACAACGGGACAGAACAGAATCGACGGTGAAGAAACAAAGTCCCTACAGGATGCAGCGATGCTATGCATACACAACTCGCGGGAACTAGCGCTTAGTGCCAGGCACGCCAGGGCAAGCTTCAGGGTCCCGTTGCTTGGTATGGCAGTCTCGCGCGGCTCATTGCCTCATTGGTCTGCCGAAGCCACTTGACTCATCCACTGAGAAGTCTCCGGACATTTTAGCTCAGGCGCCATTCCCAATATGTCAACGGAGGGGAGGGCTGGGAGGCAAAGGGGGGCGATAGTCCAGAATCAGGAAGGGGGATGGAAGACTCCGAGCCGGGAGGCTTTGTGACTTGATCGGTGCAGGCATCATCGTTTGGACAAGAGGCGCAGATTGGGACATCGCTGTGCTGATCCTTTGAATCACTGCAGAGCACGACCCATGGGAGATGCATGAGCCGCCGGTCATTTCTGGCGTATGTCGTGATGCACCAGGATGCTGTTTCTCGTTTCTGGTGGATCTGCCAAAGAGGCCCCCCCTGAAGACATCGTGAGGGGGCCAGGAGGCAGGCAGAGCGACCTGGCCGGAGTGGTTTGCAATAATGCTGGGCAGATCTGGGGAATACGGGCAGTTCGCCATTAGGGGAATCATGGGCAGGGTGTGTCGGTTCTCTCAGTCTCCGATGCAGGCATGGCAATTCTAGACACAGCCGACAGGGAAACAAGAGGCAAGTTGGAGGACTTGATACAGGGGTCACCGCTTGGATGAATGGGACACGAAGCAGTCGGAGCGATTCCGTAGAGAGGGATAGCGCTGCAACGCTCATGAGTCGTCTGCTGTGATTCGACAAGTCTGTGCTTCACCGTGGCACACCTGGAACAGGACCACGGCGCCCCCGCTCGCATACTGCTTCTTAGGAAAAGAAGGCCGGGGGGGAATTAAGCTTGGGCAATATGGTTACGTTAGAAACATGACGGCAAATTGAGGCTTATTTTGTCTACGGGGCCTGCGGAGTGGGGGGGCTGGTTCAAGGGTCTGGCTCTTTTCGAACACGAGAAAGACGCCCGTTGGTTCGTGGGCGACTGTGAAGCCGAGTTTCTGTCTCGATATGTGTGCGTGTGTGCGGACTTTCGCAGCGCGAGCGCACATCCATCCAGTCTCTTCTCAGTCCCAGCCGTTGCTTGGCCAAGATGCCGGGACCGTCGGCTACCTTACCAACCGAAAAACTCACTAGCCGGGCTAGCTCTGCTGCATGCTGCACGCTCTCAGACCTCTCTCTCTCTCTGCGTGTTTCTTGCCTCCCAGCCACATCGGAGCGTTTGGACCGCGGGCCTTGAGTGACATCGCTCAGCCCCTTCCGATGGCTGCTGGCCATCGTGTCTCCCGACTCGGGGCCGACAACCGGCTGGGCGGATCCACCCGCTCTCGGCCGGGCGCCGGTGGGCCTCCGCCCGGCCCATTCCCTCCCCTCCCCTTCACATCCCTTGAGGCCATCACCACGCGACTCTTGCTAGCAGCCTTACCCCTTACCATAATGATTTGCAATCCCGCCGCTTCTATGCCTGCTGTAGATCAATCACCATCTGGGCCACCAATCGCAACCAACAGTGAGCTCAGCCCCTGTCATGTCAGTGGGGTCGATACGAATGATTTACCGGCTGCTCCCACCTTACGCGGGCGGGTGCGCGAGTCGAGTTTCCAGGCCTAAAATGCCCGCTCGCGACCTGACGCGCACTGGCGCCGCAAGCGAGTTTGATCTTCTCCTGCCAAGAGCAACCAAGCCCGCCCTACGAAAGACGCCTCGACTGTGTGGGTGACGGAGGGCTGAGAAGCACGTTTGACAGCCAGGCCAGCCTAACTAGGAAACTTTAGGAGGGGGATGGGCAAGTCTCTGGAAAAAGCTGAGCTTTGCTTCAAGGCCCAACAGGGCTGGGGGCGACTACACGGCCACACACTCACTGCCACCTCACGCAGTGTTGCATTACGCCAAGAGTGTAAGGCCAGGACGAGGCCACCTGAGGCGCGGCAAAACTTGACTTGGACGAGGCGCTGAAGCAGCTTCCGAGCCGGTCGTTCCCAAGGCTCGGAGGACGAAGTACCTTGTATTATTCTTGGCGCGAGAAGAAAGCTTCGCAGTCTTTGGGGCCCTGGGCGAGACATTTGCCCAAAGTTGTTTAGTTCATGCACTCTGCAAGGGACGAATCAAACTCTCCATGAGCCGCTTGCCTCTTTCATTCAAGGTGGTGGCGGGATGCAGGTCCACAGTTACTATCTTATGAGGCACGTTTCTGGCATTTCACTTTGAGATTCACGAGCCTGTCATTGATGAGAGATATCGACGAGTCAACTGGTTGATTGGATAGACTCTACTGGTGTGCCTTCGTCTTATCATCTGAAGCTAGGGATGAGACGCCCTATCTCCTCGACCGATGTTTCCTCCTGTGAAGGAATAGTTCTTTGGCCCCCTCCGTCTTAACTTTCGCTTACGCTCAACTCAGCAGCTCGCTCACCACTGTCGTGATGTCGCCATCGATGCTCGTTGCCAGTCCGGCATCTTCTAGATCCCACGGGACGGCCGTCTCAGGTCCCATGCCCACCCTCACCAGCTTGACCTTCCCCCCGCATCTCATTACCAGATCCTCGTTGGGCCATCTCAATACGCCCGGCGTCGACATCCCGACGCCAAGCTCCAGGATCACTGTCGTCTTGTCCTCACGATGCACAATGTTCCTGCGAAACTGCTTCCATCTCGACTCCCCCTCCTGGAAGGGCTTCTCGTTGAACCAATGCCCAGCTCGCACGCAGATGTTCATCTTTCCGCCGCAGAACTTGCAAAGGGGCACCTTGCTCGGGTCTGTCAAGATTTGAGATACCGGATCCAGCGACGATTGCGCGTCGGCGACGAGTGGTCCAGAGAGCACCGTCGCCTCCGGTCTGCAATTCGCCAGGCATTGGAACACGGAGTACGAGCCCTGCGGCGTTGACAGCTTTTCAGGCGACAAACCATTTGCGACGAAGAGACCGTCGGCGTTCGAAGTCCTGACATGCGCGTTCTCCCCAAACGTGTCCAGCCAGGATATTAGCGTCCCATACATCGGGGATTTTGGCCATGAGCTGACCATGCCAAGATGCGTGAAATAGTAGCCCCATCGTACCTGTTCGGTCGGCCAGCCAGTGAAGCCGAAGACACTGTACAGAGTTTGCAGCCCGTGCTTGAGGAAACCGGGAAAGTGCTTGGCAAACAACGCCGTTGAAGTATAATCCAAACCATCGGAAGCAGATAACCCGGCACCAGCGCTTACGATGACAGCATCTGCCGTCGTTAACCACTGCCTGGCGCGGTCCAGCGAGTCGCACTGGATCAACGGCGACTGCCGATGCGGGTGATTTACACTTGGCGGGGTTGGCGACATCCCAATCCCTGGTGTCTGCGGGGGAGGCGAGGCCAGGATCTCCTTGTAGATGGCATGATCTGCATCCGTGAAGGTGTTGAAGATGATATCGGTGATGGACGTACTCTCGTGGTGCTCGAGCCAATCTGCAACGGTCCTCACCGCGACAGATGCCGCATCTCGCGCCGGGAACGCGAACAACCCGGTCGAGATCCCGCAGAAGGCGACAATCTTCCTGCCATCCGGCGTCGCGGGCAAAGCTTCCACGGCGTCGAGCACGGAGCGATAGCATTGGGCGAGCTGCGCAGTCTGCGTCTCGGTCGGCTTCGAGCCGCGTTGCAGTTGCGGTCCAACCGTGTGCACGACGTGCTCTGCGGGCAAACAGTAGCCCTCAGTAACGATCGCCTCGCCCGGCTCGATTTCTCGGCCCCTTGACTCCATGATTCGGTAGCACG